CAAACTCGTATTTTCGAAAAACAAACTCCCATTTTCGAAAAACAAACTCCCATTTTCGCAAAACAAACCCCCATTTTCGCAAAACAAACTCCCATTTTTAAAAAAAACTAACTCTCATTTTTGTAAAACAAACTCTCATTTCCGAAAAACAAACTCCCATTTTTAAAAAAACAAATTCCCATTTTCCTAAAACAAACTCACATTTTCGTAAAACAAACTCGCATTTTCGAAAAACAAACTCTCACTTTCGAAAAAGCAAATTCTTAATCTCGAAAAACGAACTCCCATTTTTCATAAGTAGATGTCCCTTTGGGGCTTCCGTATACATCAGGTTTGTAGGACGATCATATTTTCGGAACCTCAGTGGGATTGATTTTGATGGCTGGTTTCGACCAAGAGCTACAGTGAGTCCTCTTTCTCGTCAGATTCACTGCAGCTTGTTTCAAATCTGGAGTCACTGCCAGAAGTTGAACTATCCCCATCAACAAGCAACTTAATTTTTTCTCTGCAGAATGTTTTTTCGCACAACTGATCGAGAGAATCGATTCGCTCTTGAAGCGACTTCAATTCGGTGTTAAATCCATGGCTGTGTGCCATGTCAAATGCTTCCTGTGCAGTTTCTTTTGCCAGTTGATACATTTGAGGTCCTTGACGATAGTAATAGTCCGAACGCCTTTTTAGAATCTGCACCCAAGTACTTCGAGGAATGTCACCAAGTTCGTACTGTACAATGTCAAGGTGTCTTTTCGCGACCTTGAGATCTTGTGGGATTACTTTTATTCCAGCTCTAGCGATAGGTGAGGAACAATCAAGTAAGATGGCCGCAAGACTAAGGTGGCAATATGTCAGCCTTTTGTTTTGGATCCTTGAGCGGGGGTCTTTCTTGCAGATGTCAATCGCCCGTTCATAGTAATATTTCGCTCTTTCTTTCAGTTCCTTTCGCGCCTTTGCTTTCCTGTTGTCATCTGCGACTTTGCTCATGTCAGCCAACCAGGCAGTGCCTAAAAAGTGGTACAATTCGGCCAAGTCCTCGGGCGACTCGTGATTTTGTAATAAATCCTCGCTTTGTTTTAAATGTTCCAAAAAGGATGAAATGTCTCTGGGCTTCCTACAACTACAGTTGCGTCCAAGTAAAAAATAGGCCCTTGCAATTAAAATTTTCGGATTTCGTAGCTGGCAGTGCTCGGCGCGTTCTATCACTGAAGTGAAGCAGCGTTTGCTTTTGCTGAGTTGTTTGTTGTACATAAATGATACACTTTTTTCAATTATTAAGGCTAATTCCATGTCTTTGTTGCCTTTTTCAACGTATCGTCGAAGAAAGAAATTAACCTTACGTTCATGGTCCTCAAACTTTCCATTGTCCCTTAAAAGTTCAAGATATTTAAAGATTTCCTCACTTTGTGGTCCGTTAAGGAAACCTTGCTTTCTTACGACAGGTAGTGATGGCTCAACATCCAGTAATATTTCACCGGATGCGGTGTTTGCTTCCTGCTGAGGTTCCTCCATAGACACACCTGGTCTACTGAAACACTGCACTGTAATGTTCTCTTCTGCTTTCATTGGTCGTATTTGTTCAACGTGGCAATCTGCTCGCCTCAGATCGGCTTCTTCTTGACTTTTTGGAAATACGTGACTGTCAGAATGGTTCCAGTTGGCAAGGCTCAAGGTCATTGTTTTAGTATTCGTGTCGATGCTTGCTTGTGCAAATGTTGAGTTGAGCTCATTGTCAGGAATACTGAATAATATCTGGTCAAAAACAGCAGATTGATTACCTGTTGCGCCAGTCTCTTTAAGAGCTGAATCTGTCACAGTTGCTGAGTGTGGAGTTTTGGGGTGTTCGTGTTTGCTTGTCATATTCGGACAGTTCTTTTTGTGTCACGTCACTTTCTGAATCTGTTTCTCCTGTCCAGAATGTAAAATGAAATGTCTATACTTCCTTCTAGTGACAACGGCTTCCTCTTAAACAAGGAATAAACAATAGAGAATAAGTCTGTTAATATGAAAATTCACCTTCAAGCCAAGTTTTTATTTTACCCCCAACCCCTCCTTATAACATCAGAGACTAGTATTTTGTCTGCTGAGAAGCTTGGGACGTAATCTTTGCTTTCGAGGATAAATGACTTCTGTTATGATATCACCATGGATATTGCTAGCATTGGACACGTTTCCTATCAGGTTTGATAAGAATTCCTTTATGGAACGTGTCTGATCACGTCATGTCGCTTGTAATGACGGCAATTTCATGGGGGTTTCGACAACACACTGACCCCCGGTTAACTGACCCCCCTACTGACCCCCTATTGACCCCCCTACTGACACCCCTACTGGCCCCCTATAAAATCCATGGGAAAATGAAAATGAAAAGAGCCCAGAACTATCAATGGGACCGATTCAAGTTCATCAATAAATTTAGCTTACCTGAAACTTCCAAGATGGCAGACGCGTTGCAGATTTCCGACACTCTTGTTCTCCTTTGATTGTTTAGTGGAGGTTTTGTTGACGGAAAATCAGCACAGAATAAGCTTGAATATCATCAAATATACGCATATGACGCAGTACACATTGGAAAATGAAGCAAAGAGAAACGCTGACAAATGAGCAGGCTTGCGAAAGGTTCGTGATGAACTGCTCGTGCGAGCGACACGAACACGCGCGTAAACCTCAACCGAAAGACGAATTTCATTAGGTAGTTCCAGGCCTCTCGCCTTGTTTTCGCATTTTAAGAACTGTAGTAACTGTAGTATAAACCATTTGGACAAGCCCGGTGGATTACTTTCTCCTTGGCGAATAAGAGGCAAATCAATGAAAAACAGTAATGCCACTTACCGTCCATGACTAAAGCAATGTGCAACGTAGTTTGTGCATGCGGAAGGCGAGGGACCTGGGGCTTCAAGGTTGCCAAAATAAACTTCCGGTTGATGTAATCGTGTGCGTGTCGCTCGCGGTTAGTCGCGTGCGTGTTAATTTGCCAGAATTTCCTCGCTATTTTCATTGCTTAATTTTCTAATGGGTACAGATATCATTCTTGATGATATTCCAACTTATTCTGTGCTCGATTTTCCGTGACAAATCCTTCAGTCAAATGAGAAGAGAGTCGCAAATCTGCAACGCATCCGCCATCTTGAAAGTTTCAGGTAAACTAAATTACTGACGAACTTGAATCGATCCCACTGATAGTTCTGGGCTTTTTTTTATTTTCATTTTCCTGTTGATTCTATGGGGGGTCAGTTGACCGGGGCTCAGTGTTTTGTCGAAACCCAGTTCATGGAAGTGCCTTATTGTTGTTTACTACAGCCGCAATCATTTACAGGATGTGCTTTATAAAGCTACAGAATCACTCTTCCTCTACATGTATTACTGCAACAAACAAGGGGTTTTCCTTAAAGAGCGAATAAACGACACAAGGTAAAGCAGTATTTAGTTGTGAAATATAAAATTCGACACACATGATAGCCTGCTTTGTTTGGATGATTTGCAACGTCAACTTGAAATGGAAATTTCCAGTATACTAATCAACAACATAAGTCACAATTTTGTTTTTCACATCAAGGCAATATCACCCTCTTTACGAATTTCTTTCTCCTCACCCGCTCCTCTTGACGGTGTACTTGTTTTGAGATTGTTGGGTGCGGTAAAGTGATATTAATCTCGGTGTATAGTAATACGAGAACGATATATTTGTTAGTCAGTAGATAAGCTTCTTGGAAACAACATTCCGGGTTCTCTGAACACAAGTCGAACCTATGGTCTGCCGCACAGTCGCCGGACGCTATCACCATCTATTCATGTACTACATGTTTCTATATACCTCACGTACCAGAAGAATATTACTAATCTTACCTTGTCAGATTTCTAAGATCCTTCAAGCAATTTTGTTGTTTGATTCATGGTATGAGTTACGATCGATGTAGTTTTCCATTCGAGATCGACTCGCATTAACATGCAAGTCCCTAGGATTTCACATTTACGTTCTCCATCAATTAAAATAAGCGCTTTCCGTAGGTACTGCAAGGAAGCAAGTTGGCGAGAGCAATTTCTAGTTAACTAAGAGCATGAACGAGAGCGACGCCAAGAAAGTCGCCGTGAATACACTTCTGAAGTTGGTATTGATTACTGTCTGTCACATCCGAGGGTATATGCTATTTTGGATCAATGATTTGATTGTTTGAAACAAAGAATCATCAAGATAACCAGTCATGATAGACTTTGGTGAGAGGGAAAGTCCCTGAATTTATAATGAATCAAATTACGTCATGCGTATATTTTATGTTAAGTATTCACCAGAAAGTGGCGATGAATTTCGTTGTAAGAAAACCTGATTGACGGAATATACCACTGTGGTGAAAACGTACTGACGTGGAGAATAGGAAATATTCGTAATTGATATTTTGTATGTATTTGCACTGTAAAAAAGCCCAGCAAATATATAAAGGTTTCGAAAGCGTTGAAAGGGAAAAGTCCCTTCTCCATGTATTAGTTACACAACCACTTCATTGACGTGTTTGAAACACCTGCGTTTGTAGGGTCACGGAATTCCAGGGGGGTGAAATTACAGAAATATTAAGGTGGCTCAAAACAGTTTTCTGTTTTTTTGAGACTTATAGAGCTAGGTGCGATTTTTCAGACTTGGAATTGTACTGTTTTGAATGGCTGTGCTATTTTTTTAAGGTAACTCTCCACTGTGCCTTTCATTGTGTTTAAGTCATAAATTAAGGTTGCACTGTCCTGTTGCATAGCAACCAACTTGACCCACTTTTTTCTCTTTATTACACACAGAAGAAGAAACAGGCAAAATTATAAAAAATTCTGTGGAGTGAATTTTCCTTAAATTAAGAAAAATGGAAATTTCCAAGTTGGAGAAAATCCACTCCACAGTTTCTTCTACATTTTTGCACATACATTCCGCTTTTGCAGCTGAATATTTTTATGCATCAAAAACGAAGGGTCACCGGATCAGTTTTTGAGATATTAGCTTCATGGATAAGGTACTTTTAGCGCGCGTCCTACGCGCAAATTAAATCTCGACTTTGCAAGATCGCCCCTTGCGCACGCTTGAAGGCGGTCGTCTAATCAGTAAAGCCCGCAATTCCACGCGAATAAACGCGAATAGTCCGCGAATAGTGTTTTTTGTTATCGTTAGCAGCATAAGCGGAGGTGGGACTAGCCGGAGGTGAGACTAGGCAAGTACAAAAAACGAAGAAAACCTGAAGAGTAGTTTTTTCCCTGCTGTTTTTCAGATTGATAGTCGGCGCGATCGATCGCAACATCAACATCACAATTTTCGTTTACCTTCCACCACAGCGGTTTAAAGTCATGTCTTCCTTCGAAATTGCCTGAAGGATGGATGTTTTCGAAGTTAAAAATAACTGATAACGCAAACAGCTTACTAAACTTGGCGGAAACAAAGTTTTACAAAGTAGGCCTCGCACTGCCATGTTTGTTTTGATTTTGTAAACTAAAAACCTCTCGCTCTATCTCGCGAACACTCGGGTGATCGCGTGATGACTCGCGCTGAAGTGCGCGCTAGAGCTCAGGCGTCTCATGGAAATATTACTGTTTTGAGCCACTAAATTCATGTGAAGGTACGCAAGTAGGAATCACCAAGGAGAAGCTGCTAAAAAATCCAAATATATCGTGACTAGACTTGCTACTTTTGGAATTTTATTGTTCATTACATAATGTCGACAACAAAACTACAGAAATTCAAAGGATAGTTTAATAATAATAATGACGGTATTTATATAGCGCATTTCCATATGCTCAATGCGCTTTACAACACTTTGCGGGGGTCTTAGACAGACTGCAATTGAGCAGTTTACNGGTCCGGTCTGGGCTCAAACCCTAGACCTCCCGCACAGAAGTCCGGCGCTCTACCAACTGAGCTAACCGGTCGGCGGTTTAGTTTCACGGTTTGGCGTAAAATATCGTGAAGCAGAATATGCTGAATTTATTCTCAAAACTCGTATTTATTACACGGGGTGAGGAACTTACCCGGACACACTCAAAAGCTATCTACCAGCAGCCGACTGGTTGGTAAACAATGAAATTGAGGGATATTTGGGAGTTAGGGCATAAAATAGGAATTGTAATAGAAATCTCTACCACAGCGTTTTCGCGACGGTCCGTGGATTGCCTTAAAAACAATGGAAACAAATGGGCTAACGTGATAGTTTGCGCATGCGCCTAGTTGTGAAACCATTCCTTTAAACCCTTATACTTATTTTCACCTTATACTTATGCATATTTATAATATCCCTGTATCAATAAATAAATCATTGTTTCATTAATTATTGTTGAGGGATAGGGCAGAATAGCTACTGGGTGGATCAACTGGCAGATCAACCGTTTTCTGACAGATTCTCGTCAGATTCGCTGCAGCTTGTTTCAAATCTGGAATCACTGCCAGAATTTGAGGTATCCCTGTCAACAAGCAGCTTTACTCTTTCTGTGCACACTGTGTCTTCGCACAGCTGATCGAGAAAATCGATTCTCTCTTGAAGCGACTCCAGTTCGGTGTTAAATCCATGGCGCCGTGCCATTTGGAATGCATCCTGGGCAGTGTCTTTTGCCAGTTGATACATTTCGGGTCCTTGACGATAGTATTGGTCAGAACGCGTTTTCAGAACCTGCACGCGTGTACCTCGAGGAATGTTACCAAGTTGGTATTCTACAATATCAAGGTGTTTTGTCGCATCTCTGAGATCTTGTGATGTAATTACTTTTATTGGACTTCGAGCGACAGTTGAGGTGCAATCAAGTAAGAGGGCTGCAAGCCCAAGGTGGCAATATGTTAGCTTTTTGTGTTGAACCCTTGAACGGGGGTCTTTCTTACAGATTGCAATCGCCCGTTCATAGTAAGTTTTTGCTTTTTCTTGCATTTCCTTTCGCGCCTTAGCATTCCTGTCGTCATCCGGGACCACGCTCATGTAATTCATCCAGGCTATACCGAAATTGTAGTACATTTCGGCCCAGTCTTCGGGCGACTCGTGATTTTGTAGTAAAACCTCGCTTCGTCTTAGACATTCCAAAATGGTCGAAACGTTTCTGGCCTTGCTCGCCCTAGAACTATAGTTAGCTGCAAGTAAAAAATAGGCTCTTGCAAATAAAATTTTCGGATTTCGTAGCTGGCAATGCTTACCCAGTTTTATGACTGAAGTGAAGTAGAGTTTGCTTTTGCTGAGTTGGTTGTGGTACATGAATGACACTCCTTGCTCAATTATTAGGGCTAATTCCATGTCAGCGTACTCTTTTTTTGTACAAAGTCTGGAATACAGAGACAGCAGTTGTTCATCTCCATTTAACCTTCCGTTTTCCTGAAGGACTTGAAACTTCTTGAGGACTTGGTTGCAATGTTCTCTATTTTGAATTTGTTGTTCATTTGCCATCACTTCCATGTATTTGTTGCCTTTTCCCGCACATCGTTGAAGGCAGAAATTAAAGAAACGCATATGGTGTTCAAACTTTCCATTGTCCTGTAAAAGCTCAAGGTTTTTGAGGATTTCCTCACATTGCGGTCCGTTAAGGAAGCCTCGCTTTCTTATCACAGGTAGTGATGGCTCAACATCCAGTGAAATGTCACCGAAAGAAGTGTTTGTTTTCTGCTGACTTTCCTCTTTAGAAACAAGTTGTCTACTTAAACACTGCACTGAATTGTCCGCTGTTGCTTCCATTTGTTGTATTTGTTCAACGTAGCTATCTGCTTGCCTCAGATCGCCTTCGCCTCGATTTGGGCTAAGCAAGTGACAATCAGAATGATGTACAGTGCTAGATTGGCCAAAAATAGCAATGTTGCAGTTGTCAACACTCAAGGTCATTGTTTCAGTATTCGTGTCGATGCTTGCCTGAACAGTTGGTGAGGTGACGTCATTGACTAATATATGTTGCAAAACAGAAGAATGCTGACCTGGTGCTCCAGTTTCGTTGGGAGCTAAATCTGTCGCAGTTGTTGAATGTAGAGGTTTGGGTTGTTTGTGTTTGGTTGCCATATTGGAAAGTCCTCTTTGTGACCAGAATCTAAAATGAAACACATTTTGTAGTATAAGTAAAATAAGAGAAAAAAGTTTGGACCTAGTGTTCTTTTGTTGTTTGTGCTATTCATTTATACTGTCACCTTGGATATTGCTAGCATTGGTCAAGTTTCCTATCAGGTTTGAAGAAAATTCCTGTACGGAACGTGTCTTATCGTGTCATGTCGCTGGTAATGACTACAATTTCATGGAACGGCTTTATATTTTGGACTACAGTCGCAGTTCACAAGATATACGTAGTTTTAGAGATCCATAAAACGACGAAATCACTCTTTCTCTACTATTCGAAGTAAAAAGGGCTATTTTCTTAAAGACCGAAAAAAAGTCTCATGATAAAGCAGTATTTCGTTGACACACATGACAAGCATACTCTGGATGAACTGTTTGCGTCATTTAACTATTTTATAGTGGAACGTACAAGAATAGCAATTTACAACTTCAGTTGCAATTTTTTTGAACATCAAGAAAATATCCGCCAATTGTTGATGAATTTCTTTTCTTCTCGTCCGCTTCCCTCTTGACACTGTACTTGTCTTGACATTGTTGGGTGAAGAAAAGCGATGTTAATCTTGGTCTGTCAGGCACTGAGACAAGCCTCTCGGAAAAAAACATTCCGATTTCTCCGAGCAAGAGTCGAGTCCATGGCCTGTTACACAGTCGCCGGATACTCTCACTATTTATCCATGTATCATCTTTGTACAAAAAGTACCAGACGTACTTAAAATAATATTACTAATCCTACCTTGTCAGATTTTTAAGATCTTGCAAATAATATTGTCATTCGATTCATGATCGTGGGGTGCGACGTAGTTCATTTTTTAGGTATTGACTTGCGTAGTCATTGAAGCCCCTAAGACTTCACACGCACATGTACGTTTTTCACCGAATAAGACAACCTCTTTTCGTCTGTGCTATTAAAAGGCAAGTCGGAGAAAGGAATTTCTAGTTAGCGAGTAGAGTATTAACGAGAGGAACGCCACGAACGTCGCATTCAAAACACTTGTAAATGCAATGGTGATTACTGTTTGTACATTCGAGGCACGTGATTCTCACGAGTGTAAATTATTTAATATTTGAAATGAAGAATCAACATGATAGCCAGTCATAAGAGACTTTCGTCAAAGGGAAAGTCCCTGAAGTTGTAACAAATCATATTTCAAAGTTTGTTATTTCTTGGAATTGTTCTTGAAGATTATCTTCAAAGATGCATGTTAAATCGAAGCGCCCGACTCGCTTGTGTTATTCGATTAACTTGTTAGACATTTCGACTAGACCTTTCTTTAAAAGATAAGATTTCTGTCGTGCAGTTCGGATAGTAAAGACTTCACTGCGAATATTTAGTTTTAAGCTTTCGTGTGTGCTTTCGTGTAGCACTTTATAACCAGCTCCTTTATGCTAAACGTTTTTGTTTAAAAACGAGGAAGGTTAAGGGGAAAAAGAAAACTCATCTAGAGGAAGACGGAACCAAAAGGAAAGGAGAAAGTGAAAGGATATTGAAATCAATTGTTTTGACGCATACGATATATTTCATATGTCTACTCATGATTTATTTCAATTAAATATATTATCATTTATTCTATTTCTATTTTCATTTTCTTAATTCCTAATCAGACTGGGCAGATTCACTGGGACATGTCTCATTATTGGAACTGGAGACATCATTAACATCAATAATCTTTATTTTTTCTTCGCAGAGTTTTTCAAAAAATTCGATTCTTTCCTGGAGATTGTCTTTTTCAGTATAAAATTCATTGGAGATGGCAATGTTTAATGCATCCTCGGCTGTTTCTTTGGCCAGTTGGTATATTCCTTGGCGATAAAATTGATCCGAGCGGGTTTTCAGAAGTTGCACACGCGTGCCTAGTGGTATAGAAACGCCAAGTTGGTACTGCACAAAATCTAAATGTTCTTTAGCCTCTTTGATGTCATCAGATGCGATGGCTTTGTGGCGAGTTCGCGCGGCAGTTGAACTGCAGTCGAGAAGCAACGCTGCAAGTTTGAGGTGAATGTATGTTTGCTTCTTAATTTGAACTCTCAATCGAGGATCTCTCTTGCAGAAACAGATCGCTTGCTCATAATAGTGTCTGGCATTTTGTCGAGCAGTGTATCGCGCTGTCGCATTCCTCTCCTCATCCGGGATAATGCTCATGTAAGCTAACCAAACCGAGCCATAGTTGTAATACAACTCCGCCCAGTCTTCTGGCGACTCATGGTTTTGGAGTAAACACTCGCTTCGTCTGAGAAATTCAAAAAGCGGGGAGAGTTTTACGAATTTTCTATTTCTATAGTCCGCCACAAGTAAGAAGTACGCTCTTGCTGTTAAAATGTTGGGATTTCTAAGCTGAAGCTGTCGATCTTTTNATCCGGGACCACGCTCATGTAATTCAACCAGGCTATACCTAAATTGTAGTACATTTCGGCCCAGTCTTCGAGCGACTCGTGATTTTGTAGTAAAACCTCGCTTCGTCTTAGACATTCCAAAATGGTCGAAACGTTTCTGGCCTTGCTCGCCCTAGAACTATAGTTGGCTGCAAGTAAAAAATAGGCTCTTGCAATTAAAATGTTCGGATTTCGTAGCCGGCAATGCTTACCCAGTTCTATGACTGAAGTGAAGTAGAGCTTGCTTTTGCTGAGTTGGTTGTGGTACATGAATGATACTCCTTGTTCAATTATAAGGGCTAATTCCATGTCAACGTACTCTGTTTTGGAACAAAGTCTCGAGTACAGAGAGAACAGCTGTTCGTCTCCTTTTAACCTTCTGTTATCTTGAAGAACTTGAAACTTTTTGAGGGCTTGGTTGTGATGTTCTCTATGTTGAATTTGTTGTTCATTTGCTATCACTTCCATGTATTTGTTGCCTTTTGCCGCGCATCGTTGAAGGCAGAAATTAAAGGAGCGCATATGGTATTCAAACTTTCCATTGTCCTGCAAAAGCTCAAGGTTTTTGAGGATTTCCTCACATTGTGGTCCGTTAAGGAAACCTTGCTTTTTAATCACAGGTAGTAACGGCTCAACATCCAGTAAAATGTCACCGAATGAAGTGCTTGGTTTCTGCTGACTTTCCTCTTTACAAACAAGTTGTCTACTGAAACACTGCACTGAATTGTCCGCTATTGCTGCCATTTGTTGTATTTGTTCAACGAAGCTATCTGCTTGCCTCAGATCGCCTTCGCCTCGATTGGTGCTAAGTAAGTGACAATCAGAATGATGTACTGTGCTAGATTGGCCAAAAACAGCAAGGTTGCAATTGTCAACACTCAAGTTCATTGTTTTAGTATTCCTGTCGATGCTTGCCTTAACGATTGGCGAGGTGACGTCACTGTCTTGAAAATTAACTAATATCTGTTGCAAAACAGAAGAATGGTGACCTGCTGATCCAGTTGTATTGGGAGCTAAATCTGTCGCAGTTGTTGAATGTAGAGGTTTGGGTTGTTTGTGTTTGGTTGCCATATTGGAATAGTGCTCTTTGTGTCAGGTCGCTGAAGGGCTTTCTGAATCTGTTTCCCTTGACTAGAATGTAAAATGAAATGTTTGTACTTCCTTTCAGTGACAACGTGGTCCACTTAAACAATAAAAAAACAATAGAGAATAAGGATGTTGATGGAACTTCGCCTTTAGACAAGGCGCTCATTTTTTTCCCGCCCCCTCCCTAGAAGAAGAGAGACGAGTACTTTCTCTGAGAAACAAATTTTGTAGCATAAGTAAAATAAGAGAAAAAAGTTTGGACCTAATGTTCTTTTGTTGTTTATGCTATTCATTTATACTATCACCTTGGATATTGCTAGCATTGGTCAAGTTTCCTATCAGGTTTGAAGAAAATTCCTATATGGAACGTGTCTCATCGTGTCATGTCGCTGGTAATGACTGCAATTTCATGGGACCGCTTTATATTTTGGACTACAGTCGCAATTCGTAGGATGTACGTAGTTTTAGAGATCCATAAAGCAACGAAATCACTCTTCCTCTGCTACTCAAAGTAGAAATAAAAGTCTCATGATAAAGCAATATTTGGTTGACACACATGACAAGCATGGTCTGGATGATTTGCTTGCGTCATTTAACTTTGTTATAGTGGAAAGTACAAGAATAGCAATTTACAGCTTATGTTGCAATTTTTTTGAACATCAAGAAAATATCCCTCACTTTTTGTGTTTTTTTTTTGTCTTTTCTTCTCGTCCTCTTTCCTCTTGACACTGTACTTGTCTTGACATTGTTGGGTGAAGTAAAGTGATGTTAATCTTGGTATATGCTAATACGAGAAAGGTGTCTGTCAGGCACTGAGACAAGCCCCTTGGAGAAAAAGACATTCAGAGTTCTCCGAACAACAGTCGAGCCCATGGTCTGCCGCTCAGTCGCCGGATACTCTCACTATTTATCCATGTATCATATTTATACCAAACGTACCAGACATACTTAAAATAATATTACTAATCCTACCTTGTCAGACTTTTAAGATCTTGCAAATAATATTGTCATTCGATTCATGTTGATGGGCTGCGACGTAGTTCATTTTTAGGTCTTGACTTGCGTAGTCATTGAAGTCCCTAAGACACGCACATGTACGTTTTTCACCGAGCAAGACAACCTCTTTTCTTATGTGCCATTAAAAAGCAAGTCGAAGACAATTTCTAGTTAGCGAGTAGAGTATTAACGAGAGGAACGCCACGAACTTTTCATTCAAAACACTGGTGAATGTAATCGTGATTACTGTTTGTCAGATTCGAGGCACGTGATTCTCGCGAGTATAAATTATTTAATATTTGAAATGAAGAATCAACATGACAGTCAGTCATATGAGACTCTCGTCAAAGGGAAAGTCCCTGAAGTAATAACGAATCATATTTCAAAGTTTGTTATTTCTTGGAATTGTTCTTGAAAATTATCTTCAAACACTGCATGTTAAATCGAAGCGCCCGACACACATGTGTTATTTGAATAAGTTGTTAGAAATTTCAACTAAACCTTTCTTTAAAAGATAAGAATTCTGTCGTGCAGGACGAATAGTAATGACGTCACTTCGTATATTCATTTTAAAGTATTTTTCAGTGTGCTTTCGTGTAGCACTGAATAACCAGCTCCTTTATGCTCAACGTTTTTGTGAAAAGATGAGGAAGAAAATGAGAAAGGTTAAGGAGGAAAAAGAGAACTCATTTGGAGAAGGACGGAAGCAAAAGGAAAGGAGAAAGTGAAAGGATATTAAAATAATTCAGTTGTTCTGACGCATAGGATATATTTCATATGTCTACCCATGATTTATTTCATTTAAATATATTGTCATTTATTATATTTTCACTTTTATTTTTGTAATTCCTAATCAGACTCGGCAGATTCGCTGGGACATGTTTCATTATTGGAACTGGAGACATCATTAACATCAATAATCTTTATTTTTTCTTCGCAGAGTTTTTCAAAAAATTCGATTCTTTCCTGGAGATTGTCTTTTTCAGTATAAAATTCGTTGGAGATGGCAATGTTTAATGCATCCTCGGCTGTTTCTTTGGCCAGTTGGTATATATTTCTTGGCGATAAAATTGATCCGAGCGGCTTTTCAGAAGTTGCACACGCGTGCCTAGTGGTATAGAAACGCCAAGTTGGTACTGCACAAAATCTAAATGTTCTTTAGCCTCTTTGATGTCATCAGATGCGATGGCTTTGTGGCGAGTTCGCGCGGCAGTTGAACTGCAGTCGAGAAGCAACGCTGCAAGTTTGAGGTGAATGTATGTTTGCTTCTTAATTTGAACTCTCAATCGAGAATCTCTCTTGCAGAAACAGATCGCTTGCTCATAATAGTGTCTGGCATTTTGTCGAGCAGTATATCGCGCTGTCGCATTCCTCTCCTCATCCGGGATAATGCTCATGTAAGCTAACCAAACCGAGCCATAGTTGTAATACAACTCCGCCCAGTCTTCTGGCGACTCATGGTTTTGGAGTAAACACTCGCTTCGTCTGAGAAATTCAAAAAGCGGGGAGAGTTTTACGAATTTTCTATTTCTATAGTCCGCCACAAGTAAGAAGTACGCTCTTGCTGTTAAAATGTTGGGATTTCTAAGCTGAAGCTGTCGATCTTTTTCTGAATTTATGACCGAGACGAACATACGTTTACTGTGTTTGAACTCTTTGTGATAAGAGAACGCTACCCCGCGCTCCATTTTCAGGGCTAATTCCAAATCAGACTTCTCTGTACTCCCACAGCGTTGGAGATACGACGTAACAAGACTTTCGTGCTCTCCAAACTTTCCATTGTCCTGTAAAAACTCAAGCTGTTCCATGATTCGCTCACACTGAGGTCCGTTTAGATATCCTTGTTTCTTGATTAAAGGCAACAACGGCTCCACGCTCACAGTAAACAAATCACTCGAGTCTGGCTGGCTGCAGCTTTGCGCTTCATCAAGAGGCTGCAGTCGGCAGTCACTGTTCTCCGTTGTTGTCTTCTGTTGTTCAAGACTGCTGTCTGAGCGACTGACCTCGCCGTTGCTTGCACATTTGTGTTCGTTAGCATCTAAATAGCAATTAGCTTTGCTTGAACTCCCGACTGTGACGAGATTACAGTTTGCCAGCAGAATATTCAATGTGTTTGATTCTGTGTTAACTGCTGCCTGTACAGCTATTACTGAGGTTGTATCGTCTAGTGGAAACGTGAATGTTTTGTCGAAATCGTGGCAATTCTCCTGCCCTTCAATTTTTGGTTCTCTTGGAAGTGATTCATCGATTTCGTTGGATGAATAGTGTTCACTGAGTCGTGGCGGAAGGTTTGTCATTTCAACAGATGAAAACAACTGTTCACTACAATAGTATTTGTTTCTTAATTTTATCAGTTAATTCCAGTTCTAATTGTCTGTACGAGCCGTGATGGTTTCTTGTCGCTTATTGCCTCAACACAACATATTTTGCGTAAGAGTTCAAATGGCCACAATAAAAGATTTGAACGCGTACCTTGAACTTCTCGATGGCCTTGAATCAGCTGATTCTTCGTGCCACGGGCAGGAGATAATTATTTTGAATTTACGCTAAAATGTCTTCGCTGTAAAGTTTTCAGGGCTGAAGGAAAAACATCGATACGTTTCTTTCAATGCAAACTGAGGTCGGTGCAATTACGACAGCTGGCGATCTAGAAGTGCGTGATGAAGAAATGAAATATTCATGATTCTAAGAAAGTAAAGGAATCTTTGAATATTTTGGAAAGGGAAAGTCCTTTTTCCTTTTTTTTCTGTCAAAAGGGTTTCGACAAGGTAAATATATCGATATGATAATTTTTATAATCAGTTCCGTTTTGCTTCCATGAAACTGTTGACGTGTGAACTGAAAAGAAAGTGAACCAGACTTTTTCATAAACAGATCTTTTAGTGTTTAATCTACTGTCTGTATACAAATGACAACAACAGGAGCGTGAAAGGAGCTTAGTTACGTTATTTTGAGTTATTTTGGTCACGAACACAATTACCTTTTAAATTGAAGGAAATTAAACCTGAAAATAATAGTTTGCTAAGATAGAAAAACACCAAAGAGAT